TAGTAACTTTGAGTTGCTTCATAAAAAAAAAGAAAAGCTACGAGAAAAATATAATTTTTTAAAGAAGTACTTCTTTAATTATAATTAAACACAAATCAACTTTTGTTTATATAATGATTTCTTAAAATAAATTGCTTGTTTTAAAATATTTTTTTTTTGAGGTCTAAACGAGTTATTACGAGACACCAAGAAACGTGCCCGTTAGCCTCTACTAAAAATATATTAAGTAATTGATTATTTTTGTATAGCACACAAGAACCATAAAACACTAACCAGTTTTGTGTGACATCTAGGATCATGGGTCAAACTCATGTTATGGAATCCTGTTAATTGAGTAGTCTCAAATACAAGACTAAAAACTAAATTAAAAAAGGAAATGGATTCAGATCTCAAAACTGTATTACTTCACACTTCAAAGCACCAAAACCTTTGTTAGAAGAAGCAGAAATCGGATTTTCCATTCACTGCTTTATTAACACACTCCAAAACAGTAATTGTACACTGGATAATCTTACTTTTCAGAACATAAACAAGACTTTAATTCTATCCCCACAAATTCCAAATTATGATGTCTAAAATTCTATCAAATCTTTAAACATATCCAATAAAAAGTGTTATAGAAATCTGGTATAATTATTATCATAAATTTATCTGCCTATCACTTATATAATAAGTGTTTAGAGAGAAAACTAATAAAGTTGTATATTAAACTCCATAAAAACTAATAAATATGAAATATTTATAAGAATTTCATCCACTCGTTCCTTGATTAATTGACAAAAGGTAAACTTAACTCCATTTCCTCTATAGAGGAAACTATACAGCCTATAGCTACGGCCATAGCATCATTCTAATTTTTGGGACCAATATCCTTCAAGGAAGAAATCTGTTCTTCTCCCATTGCAGACATGACAGAAACCACAAGATATTTTCCTTCAGAAAATCCATCTTTAATCTAAATAAAAAAGAAAACAAATAAGAAAACAATTAACAATGCAGAGTTCATTAAGGCATGAAGTGATGAAACCATAACTTAAAATAAGTCAAGCAAGGAAAACAACTTTAAAAATGACTTCAACAAGACACCTGAGCAAGTAGTGACTCATCAGTGGGAAGCTTCAAATCATCCTTGGTATTTCCATTATCAGTCAACAGACTCACCTAAAGGAAACTCACACCAATTGGTTAAGAATGCTTTGCAACTCTCTGGAAAATCACAATAATCTGACTGATTTTCTTGAACTTTTACACTTAAGGATAATAATTTTGACATCCTTTTACTTTTAAAATTTAAATTAACAAAATATTATTGAACTTAGAAATATATCATGTTGGGAGTGCACCAAAGCCATCTTATCTTATTATGTACCCGAAGGGGAGAGGATCTTATCTTGAATTGAATGCAAAGTTTTATGTTAGAAGTAAGAAAAAACTTACAAAGCCATCTTCAGATATATCAATCAACTGATAGTCAGTGCGATTTACATGTGGAACCTGCAAAAAGAGCAATTATGACTGATAAATTCAAAACAAGCAAATATTACATAAGTAATACATAATTGCATTACGTCACAATTGTGGGATGATGGAACAATATCCTCAAGCTTTTTCCCATTAAAAATATCAATTGCAACAAAGTGGCACTTTGCATGTCCATGCTTGCCTGTTTTTGATGTAGAAACTTCTACAACCTGTCAAGAGAAATGGAGAAACGAATGGGGGCACAAAAAGAGATATTAAATTAACTGACTGTCTCAAACTCGAATCATACTAACAGACAAATAACAATAAAATGACAAAAACCTTATCTTATTAGGTGAGGTCGACAATAACAGACAAATAACATAGCTATAGTAAAAATATTTTGTCATCTGTGCTTCATGAATGTAGAAATTCATGTATTATTACAGGCATGGGAATGAAGGAATTCTAGAACCGTGGCAAGGGTGTTCTAGCATATTATCATATAGAAAAATAGCAACATGAACTAAAAAATATTATATTCATTAACATAAATACAATGTTCATAAATCATAATGTTCCAATTCCAACTCAAGTAGCAAAAATATTTAAGAAAATACAAGTTTTGAAAGCAGTAAAATTGTAATTTATTGTATTCAGCAACAAACCATACAACTAAACAACAAAATCAGGTGTCATGTATGGACTTGTTTGCACTTAAGTAGTATCCATCTGAACCCAATAAATAATGATACTAAACACTTACTCAACAACAATCCAGGAGTACCTATGCATAATATATTGTCATTATTGACAAATAGCATAGTTTGGCAACATGTTACATGTGTGTGTACAGAAGAGAAAATGCGACAGATTCAGCAATTTCTTGTGCTTCACAAGGTATCAACAAGTTGATAGCAACATACAAATTGTTGATTAGTCCTTGTACTTAGGATTATATTATAATACTAGTGTTCTGGGCAAAAATATTTAAAAGAGATGTCACCAGAAGAACGGGACAATGTAAAGGTACAACAACCATTTTAAACATTATAAAATTAAAAAAGGACACATTTTATATTTAATTTTAGCTAATGACAAGGTCAAGCAAAGCAATAGTGTGCACTCGACATTAAATGGTAGACACACACCATAAAACACCATTAGTGATATTTCCACATGGGAAAACTCTCCTTAAACCCTTAGTGAGTTGCACGCTATTTGCATGTATCGTCACTCATATAACACAATTTCTCCACTCAACAAAAGATCAAATCAAAACAATTCATCTCATGCTCCAAAATTTCCGGTTCATTCTACTTCTTTTCACAATTCTTATTCCAAACAATCTAAAAAAACTAGAATTCTCTATCCAAATTCGTTATCGCTTATTTTTATTCTTTGAGGCAAACAAAGTATAAGGAAACAAATATCTGAACGAATCTTAAGAAACGAAAGAAGTTACGTTAAAATATCTGAGGAAAACGATGATGCAATATATAAGAGCGGAGGGTGAAAGTGAGAATGAGAGAATGGAGACGCGAATAAAACCTTGCAAGGCCTGGATTTGATAACGATGTAGCCATTCTTGCGAATGGTACCAGCCTGCTGGGGGTACGTCTTTGACGCTCCTGCATCTGCTTGGGAATCGAACTGGTGCTCTTCATCTCACATCATTCACGCACACATCAAAAAACCTGGAAAAATAGGAAGGGAAAGGAGAATCTTTTCTATTGGATTTGGACCACACTGTGAATGTTACCGTCTCTTGTCATTAGGAGGCCCAAATTCCGGAGCCCATAAAAATCTCTGGGGTTGGCAGCCTGGCTCAGAGCTCTAACCCAGTTTTTTTTTTTTTTTTTTTTTAAAGATAAGAAAGTTAATAAAAAAAATAGTGACAATGAAGATTGAACCTAGGTCCTCATGTTTCTAACTACCCCAATCTCTTTCCAGCCAATAAGGCTAACCCTAGTGGTTATGCTACAACCCAGTTTTGATCTCTTGTTTTTGTTACTCTTGGACTAAAACATAAAAGTATCAATTCACCCAAAAGAAAACAATTAGAGTATATTTAACTAAATTTTTTTCATAAGCATTTTTACAAAAAAAAAAATACAATAATTTTCATAAATTGAAATTAACTTATACAAAAGTTAAAAAATATATATTGGAGAAGCTAATTAGAGAAACTTATTTTATTTATTCTTTCTCTATTATTTTTTATTAACGAGAATAGGGCATTTCTAACTGTTGGAAAAAGACTACACATAAATATAGAACATCGAGTCGACCCATTCCACAATCTCGTGGCATCCTTGATTAATTGGCCATAAGGATTATACTATTGAGCATTCCTTCCGCTAAACTTAAAAAAAAAAAAAAAAAAAAATTGTAATCTCAACAGCAGAAGACCCAAACATAACAAGTGTTTAAAATTAAAATAAATATATTTAAAAATTATAAATAAAAAAATGATTTTGAAGTTTAAAATCATTGGTCAAAACTTGGAATTTTCATAGTTTGTTTTAATATTCATTTTGATCCTGCCTACATGTCTGAGGTGGATGCTGGGTGCTGCTGGCCAACCATTTGCAATCATCATGCATGCTTCCGTTGCTCCGCATGTCAATATGTTATCATGCATGTGATGTGATGTGATGCTTGATGAGTTAACGGATTCTTTGAGGTGTTGTGTGTTTCGGGTAAACTAAACTAATCTAGTAAAAAACAAATGCATTATTTTTAATTCATATAAAATTTTCGTGACAGATAATAATTTATTTGATTTGGTCTGACTAATGTATATGCTGACAAAATAGTTCCAAGTATAGTAATGAATTCAATTAATCATTGAATTGCTTATCTCTGTATTATATATATATATATATAAAAAGTTATTTCATGCAAAAGTAATGGTGCTTATAAATAAATAAAAAAGTTTCAAGTATAACATATGATTTTATTTAATTTCTAGAAAAACAAATAAATGATTATTATACGGATAAAGCTCCAGAAAGTGACATTTTTTTCGCATACAAAAAATATATATGGCAAAGGCTACATTATTACCGCATTTTTTCTTCACGATGGTTTGCCGTTCCGGTTCTTGCATCCACTGCCTTGCCTTGCCTTCAACTCTAAGTATCTCTGACAAACATTTACAGTAAAATCAGCATGTGTTTCTGTAACATTTACAAATGTAAATTTGAATATTTTTAATTCAATCAAACTAATGTTAATTATACTTTTAATTTCCTTATTACAAGTAATGACAAGTTTTGATCTTCCCAATTTTATTTTATTTTCAAATTTAACCTCGCACTATTTTAATGAGTACAATTTTAAACATGATAACCGAGCTAAACGGAATGAAACAATTTTAACACTACAAGCTCAATTCTTGTATCTTCTATTCTAGTTTTAAAGTATTGAAATTGCACACAAATTCTTAACGGTACCTAATTTTCACAGGCGTTTACTTTTATACAGGAAGATATAATTAAGTTCACAAATAAGTAGAGTGGAAGAAGGCTACATGTTGCAGTAACATGTTATTGTTCAAACTTCAAAGATCAGGTTTTTCCGTATATTCATCATCAAAGATTTGTTCATCTGGTGGGGGGGAATGAAAAGAGATCAACATTTAAGAACTCATAACTGCTTTACATTTTCTCCAAGGTAGCATGAGAAGCTCTCAACAAAAATCAAAGAGAAATAAATTTAAAAAAAATGAAATAAAAGGACCTAAACTCTTTCTCAACATGCTAACTAACTATCATGCAGTAGGTTCAATATCCTTTAGAAGTCCAACAATCTGTTGCATGCTTGGTCGCTTGAAGGGAAGATCAGCAGTGCAAAGATAAGCAATCTTAAGAGCCTCTTCCATTTCTTCATCTGGTCCTGTGTCACGAATCTTTGGATCAATAGCTCTTGAACCTTGGTTTTTTCTCACAAGTCCTCTCACCCAGCTTACCAAAGTTGCTTCTTTGTCATCAGGGTAATCATCTCCAACTGGCTTCTTTCCCGTTACTAGTTCAAACAGAACCACCCCAAAACAGTACACATCAGATTTTGGTGTTGGTGTGTCAAATTCTTGTTGAGAAAACTCTGGTGGAACATAACCTGGTGAGCCACGAGCAATTTCATCGTCCAAGCCACTTCCAAAAATCTTGGCTAATCCAAAATCAGACAACCTTGGCTCCAAATCATAGTCCAAATAAACACTGCTAGCCTTAACAGCTCTATGAATTATTGGAGGAGAGCAACCATGGTGCAAAAATGCCAATGCTCGAGCTGTGCCAAGTGCAATCTTGTGGCGAAATCTCCAAGATGTTAGTAACCCTTCAGAACCAGCATTTTGAATGCCATTGTTGTTATCTTCTTCCCATGTGTCTGTGCTCCAATCATCCGTGCTTTGTACACCAAGTGGCAAGTCATAAAGCAGGTTTTGCAAGTTACCATTCTCCATGTAATCATATATAGCAATTCTCTGATCTCCAGCTACACAATATCCTGTTAAGGGAACAAGATTGGGGTGCTTGATTCTGCCAAGAAACTCTAACTCTCTTCCAGCCTCTTCATCTGTCAAAGTAGAACCAAGAACCAAAACCTTAACTGCCACATGAATACCACCAGGCAGAAAACCTCTATAGACTGGTCCAAATTTTCCTTCAGCCAAAAGGGTGCCCCTATCAAAATTTGAAGTCGCAGCCAGGAGATCAGCAAATGTGATATTCAACAAAGGCTTCTCAAAGATTACTACTGGGACTGATGTTGCTTGCTTCACATCAGCCACCCAAGTTGTAGAATCAGTCTGGAATGAGAAGGGACCTGAAATGTTTTGCTCTTCTTTGTATGAAGCTTGCTTGAATTCCCACATTTTTGTTTTCCTTCTGCAGCCAAATGCTAGAAACAAAAGCCCGGCAAGCACAAAAATCATTGAGAAGGTCAATGCCAGGGCTAGCTTCATTCCCTTGTTTTCAGTGTCTCTTCTTCTGAAAAGCCGCGGGTTTGCAGCTATTGGACAACTGTTCAATGATCCATAGAATGCTGTTTGTAGGATCTCAGGTGTGATTTCAGAAGCACAGAGGGTAAGGTTGTTGTAAGAGAAGTTGAACTTCTCCATAAATGGAAGTTTCTTCAAGACAGATGGAGGGACTGCTCCACTCAAATTGTTGTTTGAGAGGTCAAGGACTTGGAGGTTTTCATTCATCAGTAAGGGAATTTTCTCACTAAGATGATTCATAGAAAGATCAAGTGCATTCAAATTGCTTAATTGTGAGATTTCATCAGGAATTTCATCAACAAGGCTAGTTTTGGACAAGTTCAGATATTCCAATTTCAGGAGCATTTCAATCTGGGGGAATTTCTGTCTGGAAAATCTATTGTGTGCAAGATTAATATGCTTTAAATTCAAGGTATCATTCAAATTTTGAAAAAATTCCCCACTGAGCTTATTCTCTGACAAATCCAGGTAAACTAATTGAGACCAATTGTAACTACTAAAGTTGTATTGTACCTGAGGAATGTGACCTTGAAATTGGTTTCTGCTGAGGTCCAGAACCTCCAACCTTCCCTGAAACACATCCATAATAGAACCCTGAAACGAATTCCCTGATATGTTGAGACTCACAAGGGACTTTAGCCCAGAAATATCTGAAACACGTCCATACATATTATTCCTAGAAAGGTTCAAAACCCTAAGCTTAGGAAAAGCAGCACCAAAACCTTGTGGAAGTGTTCCATTGAGCTGATTTGATGAAAGATCAATTGAAACTAGAGACTGGCACTTGAGAATCCCAGAAGGTATGTTGTGTGCAAACCTGTTGTGGTCAAGTTTGAGGACCCGAAGACTCAGCAGTGAGCCTAGAGCTTCAGGAATTTCTTCCGATAAATTGTTGCTGGACAAGTCAAAGCTTTCAAGCAAACCAAAGTTGCCAATGTTGTTAGTCAATGAACCAGAAATCTGATTGGAGGAGAGGTTAAGGCTCTTGAGGGAGCTCAAACTCCAGAAATCTGAAGGCAAGCTAGTGATTTTGTTGTAGCTAAGATCCAAAGATTGAAGCTTTCCTAGCTTGCCTATGGTGTTATCAGGTATAGTGCCAGAGAGGTCCATACCAGAAAGGACTAACTCAACAACATGTTCTCTATTGGCATCACAGGAAACCCCTTGCCATGAACAAACAGAAGCAGAGAAATTGTAGGCTTTGGAGGATGTTAAACTCATGTTCCTAAAGAACTCAGACACGTAGAACTCATCAGTGTTTGGTTGCTGAGATGCCAAATGCTTGAACAAGAGTGCCAAAACCAGAACAGAACCAAACACTCCCAACCCCATCAAGGAGTGATGTGTGAAACTTGCAAAGATGAAAAACACTCACAACTTCAAAACCAGTGTGACCATATCATGAAGGTGGATTGTTTAGAGCAAGGAAATGCCAACCAGGGAAACAAATTTTTTTACAGCATAGAAGGACACAAGCTAAAGGACACAGTAGTTGAAACTTGAAAGAGTAAAAGTACACAGCAGAAGCTTATGAAAACTAATGGAACTTTTTGAGGAAAAAAGAATTCACTGTGATGTAACATGTAATATGAAGATTGTGGACTATAACAAGAGAATGTGAGCAAGATTGTCTGGATGTGAGGATCTGCGAAAGGCAACAAAAAGAAGGATAAATAAAGAAACAACTGATGCAAGAAGCAAACTATTGTCTTTGTCTGGATTCAAGGTTGTGGAAAAGTAGTGATGCTTTGGTTCTGTGGCAGCACTTTTTGAGTAGAGACTTAGTTTTCAAGAGGGACTTTTCCCCCTTCAAAAGAGGCAGAGACAGCGCAACATGCAGTGAAGTGTGTACTGGGAAAGGAAGGTGCACTGTGTGAGCTTCTTCATAAATGGGAAGGAACTGAACTCAAATGTCGTTGAAGGTGACGGTTGGTGATGATCAATATTTCACAGATTTATTGGTGTGAATTCAATGATTCTTTGTTGAGTGAGTGAGGGTGTTTATCCACCATTTTAAAAAGAAAAGTCTCTTTTGGATTTTGATATAATAATTATACGAGGAAAAATATGAGCACATAATATCATTTCTTGTTATCTTTTACCCTCACCACACAAACCTCTACCATTTTACCATTATCGACTGCTTAAGTTAGCTTATTTTACTTATAAAAAAAGAGCATATTTATAATTAAGATTTTGTCAAAAAAATTTAAAACTATTTTTCTTATAAATTAAACAAATCAAATATGTTTACTATTTTGTCAATGTGATGTCTTAATGGTTTTCTTAAAGGCCAAATTATACATTCAACTTTATTTAAAAGAATGTTAGTACATTTTTTTCTAACATTTTTTTATTATTAATTGTGGTTTATTAGCAATTACAAAGTTTTGTGAATCTTACATTTTATTTAATATATTTTTTTAACTAGGTATTGCACCGGAGTGATTTTTTAACTTCGTCCCTGATTTTTAGTGAAACTATAATTTGGATATTCATCCATCATCCTTGTCTTTATCCCTGCCTCCCTCTATTTCTTATGTAAAAGGGTGAAAATAAATAAGTAAACAAATAAACATAAACAAACAACACTCTATAACTAAGTTGGAGAAGTAAAAAGAAAATCATTTATAAGCTCTCTTTTTAATTACAATGCCTCTGAATTTAATGTATTAACATTTTTGCGGACGAGTTCAAACGAATACTTATAAAGTTAGATTCATTTGTCATGTCTATTTTTAAAAGATAATAGAGAGAAGGTGAGAAAGTATATTCCTAACAATTTTTTCTTACTTGAGATGTAATTAGTTAGCCAATCGATTAAATTAATTATAAGTATTGGAGAATTAGGTATTTATAAATTATAAGTAAGAGCTTATAATGCAAAGATGGGATCATTTCATCCTCAAAACGAACAAGGAGTGACCCAATTTCATGTCGTTTCTCATGTCCTCGATTTTAATGAATGTGGATGATCTTTGGTGGGAGATTAATGTTGTTGGTACTAGGAAAGTAGGAAACTCTCTCCCATTGTTTGTTACCAACATATTAACTACATGATCGTGGTTTCACACCCCACCTTCCAGTCCCCAAAAAATAAATAATTGTATGATGATAGTAGTCATTTAAATGGGTTAGCTAGGTTTCTTGGTAGAATAAAGTGGATTTTTTTGACTTTGAAACATAGAAAAAAGTTCCTTTCTACCCCCATTTTCCAAAGCGAGTTTTTTTTTTTTTTTTTTTTTTTTCCCTTTTTCATTTAGAGATATATAATGTCAAGTCCTCTTCAAATAGGAATTGAGATGGGACTAAGTCTAACAGAATAAATAGTTTCTCATTTTTTTCTCTCTCCCCTTTTCCACCTTAATTTATGCACACTAGGTTGCCAATTTCATAATGTGGGGCATTCTTCAGGAAGAGTGGCAGTAACCAATTATCTAGCATCATGTGGACCCTCTATTTGGTGACCCTTCTTCACTTGAAAACAATAATCGATTTCAATTTGGGGTTTTGAGCCCTTCGGCTAGTTTGTCTCATCACGTGAAGCAATGCAAGGGACCAATTTTCATTTTTTCCACCTTTTCTTAATCTTTAGTGCATATTTTTTAATTCCATTTATTTCATTAATCACCTTCTATTTTTTTCGTTATCTCTCTGCTCTATCCTATATCCAATGGTTTTTTTATTAATGAGATTTTGTCTAGTGTCTAGAAATTTTGACTCTAGAGTTAATTTTGTGACTTATAAGAAGTCTATTTTTCCACCAGTGGCCCACAATGCCTTCTTTCTTTTGCACTCCACTTATTTTAATCTTAATTGGTGAAATGCTAGCACACGACTTTAGAACTCCGATTTGACTTCATTCCCATTTATATTACGAGTTTAATGCGGATAATGAGATTAATGATCATGTAGAATTAATGCAAAAGAATTTATATTATGAATAAGTTAAAAGTCATTAATTCCCTTCAAAAAAAAAAGTTAAAAGTCATTAATTAATAATATACTCTTTTAGTCTCAAAATAATTATAGTTTAAGATTTTTATAAATAAAGCAATAATAAATATATAATTTTAATAAAATAACTCTTTTAATAAATATGTTGTTTTTAATTATAATAATAAAAAATTTATGAGAGAACAAATTAGAGAAAAAAAATAAAATAAATATTATATTGAAAAGCGAATATATCAATAAATTATTAATTTTATAAATCAAAATTATAAATACACTAAAATTATTGGATAGGAAGTTAATAATAAGTTCATATTAAAAAAAATCTCAACATAAGTATAATATTAATTTTTCAATATAATATTAATTATTTCTTTTTTATTTATATTTCTAATAATTTTTTTTCTTTTTATCTATATAGTGCGCATTTTTTTTATCCATCTTTTTTAAGATTTCAAAGTAATATTATTTTTTTTCTTTCAACTATTCCATTGTATTCTTTAACTATTGTATAAGAACTTACACTGTTCACCTGATAGTCAAAAGCTTGTTCTAGCAAATACTTCCTCTAAACCTATATATAAACAAAAAGAAAGTTTTTAAAGTTTTTAGACTTAAATAAAAATGAATTTCAACTAAATTAACTTAATTTAATATTTTTAATCCAAAAATACTCCTAAGACAATAAATAAGAGTACTATCTATAATAAATATGATTAATAATATTTTAGTAAATACAGTATATATTTTATATAAAATTATGAAAATTAAATATATTTACTTACTTTTCTTGATTTATGTGAAATGAGTTAATTTTATTTATATAAAATTCAGATAGAGTATCCTTTAATTTTTATGTATATTTTTGTGGAAGGTGAATAACCAATTGTATTTGAAAAGAGAGATCTTTGAAAAGTTTAAATGTGAGAGAAGAAATTGATAATAGATAATTGCAATGATTTAAAAACCGGACCGAACCGGCCGGTCGGACCGGTTGGACTGGGAATCGGTGGTTCATCCGGTCCGAATCTTAAGTTGGATCGGTTATGCAGTCGACCCGTTTCAAATTGGATTGAGCCGGTCAATTTTCTGGTGCAACCGGTGAACCGGTGGGTCAAACCGGTTCAACTATTTTTTTTTAAAAAAAAATTTTTAAGGGACCATAAACCACAAAAAATAATAATGAAAATTGCATCTCTTAATGGAAAAGCAAGGAGTCTTATTAAATATAACAATGACTACTTGTTCTAATATATTTGTTTGCAATATATACAACTTAAGTAACTTTTATAGTATATTATTAATTTTAAATTATATATTTAATAATATAATATTTATGTAAATATTATATATATTATTTTGTGATATTAATTGCAAGCATATTATATATGTACATATTATTTATATTTTTAATTTGTATTAATATATCGTTTAACATGTAATTTTTTATGTATTTTTTTACAAAATAAACGAGTCATGCGGTTCAACTAATGACCCACCGGTTCAACCTTTGACCCACTGACCCAGTACTTTAACCGATTCGATGACCGGTCCGATTTTTAAAACTATGAATAATTGGAAGAATTGTTTGGATAAACAAATTATTTAAAAAAGGTAAAATAGGAAATGTATGAACAAAGTCCCTTAAAATTAAAAAATTAAAAAATTCTTTAAAAACTTCAGTTTAAGCTAAAACGACAATTAATTAAAAACAAAGAGATCATTATATAGAAAATAATTTTTATGTTGCATCTTTATATTATTAATGAGGATAAATCATAAGATTAATTTTGTAAAATTATTATCATTTCTTTTTATTTAATAATTTTTTAATTTAAATAAAATAGTTTAAGATAATACCTGTTATAAAACGGGAATATGAAAAAGTATTATTAAAGTATTATTTTATACTGTTAGTATATAAGTTTTTATTATTGATGTAAAGATCAATAAATTACTATATATTATATATTAATTGTTACTATATATAATAGTATTGTAATCAAATTATTGTATAAAAGTATTTTATATTTTGGGTGCATAATTTTTTTTAATTACTACTATATTGTATAGAGAAATGTTGAGGCAGAAGAGAATAGAGTAATTGGTACATTGACATGGCAAGTTGGGGTTTTGATGCAGGAAGTGTGGATGAGTGAGAGAGAAAAGAAGAGAGAGGCAGTGATGAAAGAAATGAAGTGGCGTCAGTGTGTAATGATTTGCATTCATTAAGAGTGAAGCTTAATGAGTAACATGAAATCAACCGACAATGTTACTTTCAATAATCATACAATCCCCACTAATATTCTAATGCTGACATTATGTTTCTTATAATCATGCCACCATACTTATATTTCAAATCACGTCAAATAAATTATGTTCCTCCTGCAGATCCTCCACTTCATCCACTCATCAACCCCACCATACTTATATATATATATATATA